TTCTTAAACAATGTATTGAATAGTTAATATCACTCTAGTCTTAATTTATTACAATTTAAATTTTTAATAAATTTGATTTATTATAATTCATTTTGTTAATATTGAGACCAAAGTTTATTTTTAAAGTATATTTTAAAAATTAAATTATTTTAAAAAAAATAAATTACTTTTAAAAAATAAATTGTAAAAAATATACTAAAACAATTAAAGTATATTTATAAAAAAATAAATTTAAATATAATAAAAAAATAATATTCATTAGCGATCGATTTTAATTCGGTTACTATTTCAATTTGTTATTCGATCGCTAAATCGAGTCGCTAAATAATTTTTTTATTTTAGTATGGAATAGCCATCGATTTAGCGATCGAAATTTTGCGACGCAAAATATTGGTCGCTATTTCGGTCGCTAAATAAAAAAGTGAAACTAAATCATATTTTGGTGACTAAATCGGTCGCTAAATTGCGACCGAATTAACTTGGTCACTAAATCAGACACTAAATTGGTTGCTAATTGCGACCGAAAAAATTCGGTCGCTAATTTCGGTAGCTAAATGTGTTTTTTCTTGTAGTGTAACTATTATCTTTATAATCACTACCTCTCAACTACATGCATTTAATCTTTACCTAATAAAATCCCCCCATAAACCTAAATGTTTTTCTTGTCCTTCATTCCAAGCATCTTCTTGTTATTCTCGAACAGAGTGGTTGGCAGTGGCTTCGTGAACATATCTGCAGCTTGTGCTCGGGTTCCGACGTGCTCTAACTCCACATTTCCTTATTTCACTTGTTCTCGGATGAAGTGAAACCGAACATCAATATGCTTGCTTCTCTCATGATTGACCGGGTTCTTTGTCAATTCAATGACCGACTTGTTATCAACTCGAATCACAATCCCTTTTTCTTGTTTCAACTCCAGCTTGCTTAGAAGGTTTCTAAGCCAAACTGCATGGCAGACACTCTAGGATGTTGCAACGTACTCGGCTTCACAAGTTGACAACGTTACAATGAGCTGCTTTTTTGAAAGTCATGTGAATGATGTGTTTTCCATGAAGAATACATATCCAGACGTGATTTTTCGGTTATCAACATCTCCACACCAGTCACTATCAGATTATCCTACTAGTCGATAATCATCCGTCCTAGTATACATTAGGCCAAGTGACACTGTTCCTCTCACATACCTTAGAATTCTCTTTAGTGTCTTCCAATGAGTATACCTTGGCTCCTCCATATATCGACTTGCTATTCCAACACTTAACATTAAATCTGGTTTGGTATTTGTAAGATATCTAAGACTTCCAATCAGACTTCGGTATTTGCTCGCATCAACTTGGTCTCCATCTGCATACTTAGAAAGTTTTGTACCAGGTTCCATAGGGGTGGAAACCGGGTTGCAACTTGTCATCTTAAACTTCTTCAAGATCTCCTCAGCATACCTTTCCTGCGACACAAAGATGTCATTCTTCATAAGACCCAAGTCAGTCATCTCAAACTCCTTCTTCATCACTTCTTTAAACTCTTAAATCAGTTTGGCATTATTCCCCATGAAGATAAGGTCATCAACATATAGGGCAACAAACATCACATCTTCTTCTTTCTTCTTTATGTATAGAGCATGTTCATAAGGACATTGCTCATATCCATTCCTTTTGAAGTAAGTGTCAATTCTTTCATTCTATGCTCGTGGAGCTTGTTCAAGCCATAAAGTGCCTTCTTCAATCTCAGCACTTTCTTCTCTTCGCCTCTTCGCATGTATCCGAGTGGTTGTTCAACATATACTTCCTCCTCCAAGATTTCATTCAGAAATGCCGACTTCACGTCCATCTGCAAGATTGTCCATCTGTGTTGAGCTGCTAAGGAAATCAACAGCCTAATTGTTTCCATTCTCATCACTGGGGCGAATAATTCGTCATAGTCTATTCCTTTCTTCTGCTTGTACCCCTTCACTACGAGTCGAGCTTTATATCGCTCAACTTCTCCTTCAGCATTTGTCTTCTTCTTGTACACCCACTTTACGCCGATAGGCCGCGCTCCTTTGGGAAAATCAGTCAGCTCCCATGTGTTGTTACGTTCTATTGCCCCGATCTCCTCGTCCATTGCCTTTTTCCACCTTTTCTCTTGCACGGTCTCTTCAAAACTTAAGTCTTCTGAATCTGCCAAGAGATATACAACATGCATTTCATCAGTGGAGTTGTATATATCTTGTAAACTTTGCATTCTAGGCTGTAGAGGTTCATCTTCATCATCAGAAGTCTCATGATCTCTCACAGTATGTGGTGTATCAACTTCTGAGCTTCTACTTCCTATGGACTCCTTCTCCAGATTGTTCCAACTCCACTCGCTTTCTTCATCATTTTGAACATCTCGGCTCATGATGACCTTCTTAGTTATTGGGTTAAACAACCTGTACGCCTTGGTTTTTTCATCATACCCAATAAACACGTACTTTTTGCTTCTATCTTCGAGCTTGGTCCTCTGTTGAGCTGGAACATGACCATAAGCTATGCTACCGAACACATTAAGGTGAGACACACTCGGTTTTCTTCCACTCCAGACTTCTTGCGGTGTCTTCTCGTTCAACTTAGCATGTGGACATCTATTTTGCACATAGATGACACATTGCACTACTTCTGCCTAGAACTCCTTTGGCACGTTTTTGCTTCTCAACATTGTTCGAACCATGTCAAGAATGGTTCGATTCTTCCTCTTGGCAAATTCATTTTGTTGGGGTGAGTATGGTGCTGTCAGAAATCTCCTTATCCCTTGCTCCTCGCAATACTTCATGAGTTCGGATGAAATGAACTCGCCTCCTCGATCAGACCTAATAGATTTGATAGGCATGTCAGTCTCTTTCTCAACCATTGCTTTAAATCTCTTGAACACCTCAAATTCCTCGGATTTATCCTTCAAAAAATATACCCAGGTTTTTCTTGAAAAATCATCTATAAAAGAAATGAAATACCTTTTCCCACTGAAAGACTCAGGGGTAACCAGTCCACAAAGATCTGTGTGAATCAATTCGAGTTGTTCCTTTGCACGGTACTCGGCCGTCCTCGGAAATGAGGTCCTCAGATGCTTCCCGAGCACACACTCTTCACAGAATTTCTTTTCAAATTCCATAGACGGGAGTCCTCGCACCATCTCTTTCTTTACCAACTCGGTCAGTCCGCCAAAATGCAAGTGGCCAAATCGAAAGTGCCAAATCATTGCTTCATCCTTCACGTCAAGTTTCAAGCACCTCTCTTGGACTATCTTCAAGTCTAGCTTGTACATTTTGTTCTTCTTCATTTCTACTCAAGCAATCCAACTTGTCCTTCAGGTATAGTACTCGGTCTTTCATCAGAACCAAGTAGCCTTTCACCATCAACTGGTCTATGCTCAATATGTTGCTTTTGAGATCGAGTACATAGTACACGTCTCTGATTTATCCAACTCGGCTATTCTTCTGCAGGGACGAGATTGTACCTCTGCCTTTTATTGTCACCTTTGATGCATCTCCAAATGATACGTGTCCGGCCTCAACTTTAGTGAGCTCCTTAAAAAGGTTCTCGTCCTTGCACATGTGGTTACTTGCTCCTATATCAAGATACCAAACCGAGTTGTCAGAACAACTCGGACTTAGCTCGACATCCGAACTTCTCGACATCATCAATACTCCTTCTTCCTCAGCGTCCTCAGAGAAGATATTTGTTTCGTTCTTGCTCTCAAATTGGCAGTCCTTCGCGAAATGCCCAACATTTCCACAATTATAACATTTGATACTTGAATAACAGTCCTTCGCAAAATGACCGTACTTCCCACATTTGAAGCACTCAACTCCGAAATTGCTTGACTGACCACCTCGGACTCTATCGCCACGACCTCTACCTTGTCCTCGGCCACGCCAGTTTTGTTGACTGACTTGCTCCTTACCTCTTTCATATCCTCTTCTGTCTCTACCACCTCGGTCTTGAGTGTTCTGAGCATAAGGAACCTTCTTCTCCTTTAAGATTGCCTTTGCTTGGAGTGCTTGATCAAAGGACTCCTCTTTCTTCTTCCTTCTCCGCTGCTCATGCGCTTCAAGCGACCCGGTAAGCTCTTCCACCGAGAGCACCGAAAAGTCCTTGGACTCTTCTATTGCACAAACGATATTCTCAAAGTCGTCAGTTAACGACCTTAAGATTTTCTCCACCACTCGGCAAGTGGACAACATCTCTCCATTTATTCCGAGTTAATTCACCACGGTTTCAACACGGGAGATGTACTCGGCAACCCCTCCGACCTCTTTCATCCTCATGCTTTCAAGCTCGCCTCTAAGAGTTTGAAGATTGACTTGCTTCACGCGATTATCCCTTTTAAATGTCTTCTCCAGAATATCTCACGCTTCTTTTGAAGATTTAGCATTTGTTATCTTCTCAAAGTCGGACTCATCAACAGCTCGGTACAGCACGTACAAAGCCGTTTTGTCCTTTACTCATGTTGCTCTCAATGCAGTAAACTGGACAATCGTCTGCTCTTCAATATTCTCTGGTTCTTGGTGCCCATTTTCGACCACATCTCATACTTCCTGGGAACCAAGGAGAGCCTTCATTTGCAGGCTCTAGTTATCATAGCTTACGCCTTTTGATAACTTTGGCAGAGACATGTTGTTAGCTAAGTTGGTTATCTCGAACAAACTCTCTAACTCTCAAACACTCTCTTTAATACACTCAGACACTCAGACTCTCAAGCTCTTATGCCAATTTGTTGACAAACAAGTATCTAAATAAAACACTTTGTATATTATCACTTGATGATTTTTGCAATGAGTGGTACATGGTCAATTTATAGGCCTTTGGATATGGCCTCTTAACTACATGCATTTAATACAACTATTACCTTTCAACTACATACATTCAATACAATCACTATCTCTCAACTACATACATTCAATACAACTACTACCTCTCAACTACTACCTCTATAACCACTACTTCTCAATTACATACATTTCATCTTTACCTAACAATTATTATGTCCTACAAGAAGATAGGAACAGAAAACTATAAAAGTTTAACAAAAAGGATTAATGGGACATAATCAACATACATACACAATATTATCTACTAATGGCATATATAGTAGCATAACAAACATTACCTTGAAACTAAGGGCAGAATTGCATGGACCTGTAAATATAGTAGATTGTATCATGAAGACATGCCCATCTGGAACCAGAACAGTTCCTGATTCTTCGGCATGACATGCGGCATCCCATGCCAACTTAAATGCTTCTGTATCATCTGAGACACCATCCCCAACAGCACCAAATGATTTTACATTGAAAACAGTGCATCGGATTTGGGCTAACAGCCTCAGGTACAGGAGTAGGAGGCAACAGAATACTGAACATTGGAAGCCATTGCCCCCCTTTTGTATGACTGTTAAGTTTGCCATGAATTGTGGGAAAGAACAAACATGAGATGAAAATTAAGAAAAGTTTGATTCTGTGCAAGAAAATCATGTTTGGTTATGCTTCTAGCTATCTGATTAAGATGGGAAGCAACTGTAGTGGGAATATATTTGGTATTTATAGTACTATATGAAGTTTTAAGATGCTACTATCTCGCTAGGCATGCAACCTAACTAACACTGTGTTTGGTCATTTATAGGTCAATATCATTGGCTAGACATAGGGATGTTAATTAGTATGGAGAAAAAATACGTGCAGACCTTGAAACTGGGTCAAGCAGTAAATTATGTAACCATTGTGATAACTGTTGGAAATATTACTTTATTATCTTTTATTTAAATTAGGTATTAAGAGATTTTATTATCTTTTAAGAGAGAAGGTAAAAAGACATTAGGTTATTATTCGATTTAGGTCATTATGATTGAGATATTATGAATATTTAATATTTTGTAATATTTTAACTCTATATATACATAGAGTACATGAATAGAAATACACACATGATATATCGAAATACATATACACATAACCCTTCAAAAACCCAACAAATTGGTATCTGAGCTTTGGTTTGACACAATGGAAGGAGAAAGAAACTTTTCACAAGTCGCTATTCCGAGCTTTTGGTGGCGAAAGTTATGACTTATGGGTCTGTGAGAATGCAATCCTATCTTGAAGGATTGGATGTATGGGAAGCTGTAGAAGAAGATTATATTGTTGATCCACTACCCGAAAATCCCACTATAGCTCAAATGAAATCTCACGGAGAAAGAAAAATGAGAAAGGCAAAAGCTAAATCATGTCTGATTACTCGGTGTTTCACAAATGATCCTCACCGAATTATGACGCTAAAGTCACCCAAAGAAATTTGGGATTATTTGAAAGATCAATATGAAGGAGATGAGAAAATTCGAGGTATGAAAGTTCTAAACTTGATAAGGGAATTTGAGATACAAAAGATGCAAGAGTCTCGGACAATTAATGAATACTCAAACAAATTGTTAGGTATTGCTAACAAAATAAAATTGTTAGGCAAAGAATTTTCCGATTCTAGAATAGTTGAAAAAATTCTAGTAATCGTGCCGGAGAGATATGAAGCATCAATTGTTTCATTGGAAAACACAAAAGATTTGTCTAATATTACTTTGGCAGAAGTGTTACATGCTTTACAAGCACAAGAGCAACGAAGATTGATGAGAGGAGATCATGCTCGCTAGTGAAGGTTCTTTATTATATCATGATGGAGGTTCTTTCCAAGCCAAGAACAACAAAGGTACAAAATCACGAGTATTTTCTGTTTGTCCTTATTGCAAGAAAAATAATCACACACCCAACAAGTGTTGGTGGAGACTGATGTGAAATGTCACAAATGTGGTCAATTGGGACATATAGAAAAGATATGCAAATCACAACCAGAGGAAGTCGTTCAAGTTATAGAGGATAGAGAAGAAGAGGTACTTCTCCTTGCATCAACATGCTCTACAATCAACAAATTCACAGGTTGGTTAATAGACAGTGGTTGTACAAACCACATGACTCATGATCGAAAATTTTTCAAAGAGCTCAACGAATCACATATTTCTAAAGTGAGAATTGGTAATGGAGAAGAAATGAATGTGAAAGGTACAGGAACAATTGCAGTTAAAAGTCATTCGGGTATCAAATTGATTATTGATGTTTTATATGTTCCTGATATAAATCATAATTTGTTAAGTGTTGCTCAATTATTGGAGAAAAGTTATAAGGTGTCTTTTGAACACAAACTTTGTGTGATTAAAGATACAAATAACTTAGAAATATTCAAAGTTCACATGAAAGGAAAAAGTTTCACTTTAGATTTGATGAAAGAAGAGATGATTACAAATGAAGATATAAAAGAAAAGTCAAAGAAAAAGCATGAAGAAGATTTCTTGAAGGAATTTCATGTTAAGGAGGAAAATAAAGATGTAGATGAAGAAACCGTTTTCAACGTGCATCAAAGAGTCAACAGTACTACCATGAATTTTGAAAGAAACAAAGGAGATGAAGTTGATAAAGGAAGAAATATGTTGATGAAGAAAGTGAAGAATGAAGATGTGATCTCATACAAGAAAAAAAATAACAAGAAGTATAAACAAAAAAGGAGGAAAAAATATATCAAATTCAAATAAATAGATATTAAAGTAAGGAGGAATGTTGGAAATATTACTTTATTATCTTTTATTTAAATTAGGTATTAAGAGATTTTATTATCTTTTAAGAGAAGGTAAAAAGACATTAGGTTATTATTCTGATTTAGGCTGTTATGATTGTGATATTATGAATATTTAATATTTTGTAATAATTTTACTCTATATATACATAGAGTACATGAATAGAAATACACACATGATATATCAGAAATACATATACACATAACCCTTCAAAAACCCAACAATAACTACTGCAACTTGCAAGAGATCACAAATGTCAAGCAGAGAACATTGCAAAATTTAGTCACTTATAAATTAACCAACCTGTAAACAGCAATCAGAGAGCTTAGTGGAATAAACTTTTCTTGTGGATGTGTTTGGGGATGACATTATAAATTTTAATAATGACGCAAAACCGACCGATTACATTTCGGAGAAATGAGAGTAGCACTCTGCTGCACAGCATGTTGAGTCATGTCACACAACAAATGACTTCCTCGGGAAACAAGGTTGAGAGGAAAAGAGGAATATCATGGGTGATATATGCTTTGTTGCTATTCCTGCTTTCCTCACTCACTATCAGGTGCAGCAGCGTATTGAACAAACTATACAACAGTTTTAGTACAGCAGCAACAAAAGCATCATCCTCAGAACATATAGTTCCCCCAAGATATCAAAGCTTAATGAAATTACTTGCTACATAAACATCATGTTATTGTATTTTTGTCTCCTCGTGTCGTCCATTCTCAGTGATTTAGTTAACATGAAGGATGAAAGGTGATTGGCAAGTTAGCGGTAGAACCATCAAACATGATTTTAGAATTTGGTTAATAAATAATGACAAACCATTGCCATAGCCCATAGTAAGTCATTCACTACGATTGAGAAGTGTTCAGCTCAATAGACAGGGAAATTATCCAGGGAAGGTCCATCAATCAGAAACCAATTGCGTCATGGAAACAAGATGAACTGATTTTTTTTTTTTCACATGTTGGACAATTCTATGAGAGAAATATTAGGCATATCTTCACACATACAATTTAATGCATGTAGATGGAATTAAATTATTACGTAACTTTATATTTGTTATGTATTAAATATCACCGTTAGTTAGAAGGATAACAAGCCATAATAAATGTTTTACAGTTGAGAGTTTGGTAAACTCACAAGGCATTAACTAACAAATATGAATGCCAATACAGAATTTATAGTTTGCAAACTCATCATAAATAGTCCCTTAACGTCAAAATAATAAATCATACCATTAAGTAAGGTTTGGATGGTTAGCATTTTACAAAACATTAACTAATAATTATAAATGTCAATAAAAAATTTATAGTTTGCAAAATCATCAGAAGGTGTATTTTAACTCAAAAATAATAAATCATACTATTAAGTAAGACTTTGATTGTTAATATTTTCATTAGTATTGTTATTGAGTTTTAATGATGTGAGACAAAATAACCATGTAAGAAAATATTATTCAAACTTCAATCTAAAATATTAAAGCGGTAGATTTGTGAGTTTTTAAATAATTCTAATAGGGATAACTTTTGTTATATTTACGAGATGCTGATTTGTGATCTTTATTTATTTCTAGATGGTAAATTGGAAAAAAATGATTTTATGTGATGCTAGCATCTAATATGTGACATCTTGAAAGATTGTTGAGAGATGATATAAGAAGTTGTGGGAGTCTCTTGAAGAACAACTTCATAACCATCAGCATAGTTATCCATTCCTTGGGCCAATAGTTGCCAGAAAACACCACCTGCACATGCTCCCCTGTTGCTAGCGCTGTTGTATATCCAATTGTATAGTTTTGCATAAAAATGATTCCTTTTAGCAAGGGTGTATCCTGCAACTTTAGAAGACATCCCAAACTCTGTAAGAAGAATGGGTTTTCGTAAAATATTATATGAATCTGCAAAATGCATGTGAACCCAACTATCAACAAAACTATCTTGGACTGTTTCGTTAAACTTCGACATCCTGCATCCAAATTCAAGTTACACACTACCAACCATGAATTCACACCATATACATTATATACATTCTTTGATGAATTACCATCGAGGGTAGAAATGAATGGTGGCAAAATCGATTTCAGGAACTAGATTGTTAGCAATGAAATCAGTTCCTGCTTCGTATCCAGGATTGAACTGTTTTCTTCCTGCCTGTGATTCACCATAAAAACCTTCAAGCCCTATTTGGAGTAAGTGATTGTTGTCAATGTACTTCACATAACCAGCCATCTCCTTCAATCCTGTAATTTAATAAACATAATGACTTTGTTTTTACAGTGACGAATGAGAAACATACTTATGGAACTATAAAATTACCTGAATTTGCTGTCCAGATAAATCTGAAGAACGAGGTTCATTCATGAGCTCCCATGCAAAAATGGTTGGATCATTCTTATACAATACTCCAGTGATTGTATTCTTTCTTCTTAATACAGCCTGCATATTACAATCAATTTTTCAGTTTACGAAGAAAAATGAGAATATAATATTAATATGATTCTTACCTTGACATGATTTTTGTAGAATCGCTTAGTGATAGGGTTGGAGAAGAAGTCATCATCTTTGCTTAGTCTCTGACCACGTTCTCTTGCCCATTCAACATAATGATTCTTTCCACCATTATCTTTCCAATTATTTACTAGGCGTAGTATCAAATGTATCCCATATTTTCCTGCTTCTGATATCACAAAATCCAATCCCTACAAAGCGTGTAAAACCACCAAATCAATTCAAAATACAGTCTTTTGAAAGCAAATCTTGAGATATTTAAGGGTAAGAAAGAAAGGTGTAGTACCCTAAAGACATTCTCGTCATAAAAACCAGGAGAAATTTGAAGGGGCATGTAACCCGCATCATTGAATGCCCAGGTTCTTGCTACGTTTAAACCATGTTTGGAAGCTTCTTGAAAAACTTTAGTGACCTTATAACTTAGAGATAGGTCGGATGCAAAAGCCATTAACCAATAGGCATTGAATCCATTGAAGTAGTGTGGTCTCCCATTCAGAAGAAAATGGGTGCCATGTCGTTGAATGAAACCACTACCACTACGTCTTTGGCCAACTAAATTTATGTTTGAATTATTGAGGGGATGAACAATATGTTTGCAATTCCCATATTCACTGATAAACAATGTCATCATAAAAGTCATCACTACCAAGTTTTCAAACCCCATAACTTCGTCCCAAGTCACAAAACCCAAAAGCTAAACTTACACAAGCAATTAATGATTAAAGAAAGAGAACAATGTGTTTTGATCCAATGGAAAACTAAACAATAAGATGGAATTTATATGTAAGATTTTTGGGCAATCATATATTGACAATTCGCTGTAGAATATATATCTAGTTGTTTTAATATAATAATAATAATAATTATTATTATTATTATTATTATTATTATTGTTGAATATAAAGAAAATATAGTTTGGAATTAATTTCCCTTGTGTATAAATCACACATAGGGTGGTCTATTTATAGTAGAGAAATACAACTAAAAGAGTAATCGAAAGTAACAGAATAAACGAGAAGATATTGTTTGATATTGTGGTTACCAATATCTAACAATATCTTAACAATATCAAATAATATATAAACAATATCTAACACTCCCCCTCAAGCTGGAGCATACAAATCGTATGTGCCAAGCTTGTTACAAATATAATCAATTCTAGGACCCCGTAAAGATTTAGTAAAAATATCTCGCTAACTGATCACTTGAGTTAACAAACTCAGTCTTGATATCTCCGGACATAATCTTTTCTCGAATAAAATGACAGATCAATCTCAATGTGTTTGGTCCTCTCATGAAAGACAGGATTAGAACTAATATGAAGAGCGTACTGATTGTCACACACAAGTGTCATTTGAGTGACATCTCCAAATTGTAACTCTCTAAGCAATTGCTTGAGCCAAACAAGTTCACAGGAAGCTCGAGGCCATAGCTCTATATTCCGCTTCGCATCTGGATCTTGCCACAACACTTTGTTTCTTACTTTTCCATGAAATCAAGTTACCACCAATGGAGACACAATATCCGGATGTAGATCTTCTATCCGAAGGAGATCCCGCCCAATCGACATCCGAGTAGCAAACAACTCTTGTATGGTTATTAGAAGCATATAACAATCCTTTTCCAGGAGATCCTTTAATATACTTCAAGATACGAATGATCGCATTCCAATGATCTTCACATGGTGAATTAAGAAATTGACTTACCACACTGATCGCAAAGGAAATGTCGGGACGAGTAACTGTAAGATAATTCAATTTTCCAACCAATCTTCTATACTTGCTCGAGGATCAGATATAGGCTCCCCCGATTTGGTAGAAGTTTAGTATTGGGATCCATGGGTGTATCAACGGACTTTGAACTCATCAACCCAGTTTCTTCCAAAATATCTATGGCATACTTCCTCCGAGATATAACAATACCATCATTGGACTGTGCTACCTCAATACCCAAGAAATATCTAAGTTTGCCAAGATCTTTGGTCCGAAAATGGTGACAAAGATGTTGTTTCAACTGAGAGATGCCATGGTTGTCACTACCTGTAAGAACAATATCATCAACATATACTATCAAGTAAACACATCCAAGCACTCGAGTGTCGATAAAAGACGAGAATGATCTGATTCACACCGAGTCATACCAAATTGTTGAACAACCTTGCTAAACTTTCCAAACCAAGCCCTAGGAGACTGTTTTAGGCCATATAGGGATTTGCGAAGACGACATACCATCCCGGAAGACTCCCCGAGCAACAAACCCAGGAGGTTGCTCCATATATATTTCTTCTTGCAAATCACCATTGAGGAAAGCATTTTTAACATCCAGTTGATAAAGAGGCCATTGTTGAAGAAGCGACCATGGCGATAAATAAACGAACGAAGCCATCTTTGCCACAGGGGAAAAGGTATCTCCATAATCCAACCCAAAAATTTGAGTATAACCTTTGGCCACAAGACGAGCTTTGAGGCGATCAATAGTACCATCAGGTCCAACTTTGATAGCAAACACCCACCTGCAACCAACAACAGATTTCCCAGACGGTAACGGGACCAATTCCCAAGTTCCACTATTATGAAGAGCACTTAGTTCATCTAACATGGCCTGACGCCAACCAGGATGGGCTAAAGCTTCACATACGGTTTTTGGAATGGTCACGGAAGAAATAGAGGAAAGACATGTATAAAAAGGTAATGACAATCGATGATAACTCAAAGCAATATAATGGGGAGAGGGATTACGTGTAGAACGAATACCTTTTCGGAGGGCAATGGGAAGGTCGGACTCATGTGTCGATCCGGAGGAGACAGAGTAGTTGGCACTTGAGTAGAGTCACATGGTGGTGGTTGTGATTGGTTTCGAGAACTATAAATCTAAGAGGCGATGGAGAAGAAGCTAATCTGCGGAGCAGAAACTAATGGTGAAGAAGACACAATTAGAGGGTCACAAACAACGGGAACATTAAATGTATTAGGAGTGTTGACAAGATTGGATGGAGACAGAGGTGAAGTTTGACTTTTAAAATAAAGAGACAACTCATCAAAGGTGACATCTTTTGACACAAAATAACGGTTAAGAGAAGGAGAAAAACATTTGTATCCTTTTTGTGATCTTGTAAACCCTAAGAAAACACATTTATGTGATCTAGGAGAAAGCTTGTCCGGACTGAATTGAAATTATGAACAAAACATGTAGACTCGAAAACTTTCGGAGGTAAAGGATGAAGTGGTTCATGAGGGAATAAAATGGAATGAGGTATTTTATTATCTAAAACCGAAGAAGGCATGCGATTAATGAGATAACATGCAGTAAGAAGAGCATCACCCCAAAAATGTTGAGGAACATCTCCATGAATTAAAAGTGTGCGAGTTGTTTCAATAAGATGTCTATTTTTACGTTCAGCCTACACCATTTTGTTGAGGTGTATAAGCACAAGAAGTTTGATGCAAAATACCGTGAGAAGCCATGAATTGTTTAAAAGAATGAGAAAGATATTCACGGCCATTATCACTACGCAAAACTCTAATAGAAACACCGAACCGAGTTTGAATTTCATTAAAAAAAGTTTGAAAGATATGAAATAATTCAGAACGATTTTTCATCAAAAATAACCAAGTGCATCCGGAATAATCATCAATGAAAGTAACAAAGTATTGAAAACCTAAAGTAGACTTAACGCGGCTAGGTCCCCAAATGTCGAGTGAACCACGACAAAAGGGGACGAAGCACCACGTGTGAAACTACGAGGAAAGGAAGTACGACTATGCTTGCCTAATTGACATGACTCACACGCCAAACTAGATAAGTTAGACAAGGCGGGGACAAGTTTACGTAACTTGGCAAGGCTTGGATGACCTAACCGAGCATGAAGAAGAGAGGAGACTCCATAACCGTACTAACATGTGTAGAGGGACGGAGATAATAAAGACCATGAGACTCACATCCTGTGCCAATCACCCGTTTCGAACTCCGGTCCCGTAAACACACGTAATTGTTGGTAAAAGTAACAACACAATCAAGAGAACGAGTTAGACGACCGATGGACAACAAGTTAAAAGGAGACCCGGGGACATAAAGAACATTATCAATGGTTAAAGAAGGAAAGAGTTTAACCGTTCCAACACCATGAGATGATACTCTAGAGCCATCGACCGAGTGTAACGAAGGTAAATGATTAGGAGAGGATAAAGAGGAGAACAAAGATTTGTTACCGGTAATATGATCAGTGGCTCTCGAATCAAAAACCCAAGGACCAGGAGAAAATGATTGGGTCGGACCAAGAAAATATGTATTTGTATGTGTGACGAGATATAGTGGAACTAGAAGACTGTTGATCCTTATACCATTCGAGAAATTTGTTGAACATAGCGGACATGTCGGATGCAACGAAGAAGGAAGATCCCCTACGGATAAAGGTGGGGAAAGATTGGTCCGAACAACTACGATGAGACCGAGGAGAACGACCATGTAATGTATAACACTTGTTAATCTTGTGACCTAGCTTGCCACAATGTTCACACTTAGGACGCCATTTTTCCCGTTTGCGAGGGCGAGCCCGGTCATCACGATGGGATGTCAACACAAAAGAATCGTTAACAAAATTGGAAATAGTGGAAGAAGTCATGAAGAGCGGGAGAACAAACCCCGACCGAGACAAGCAAAATCATATGTCACCGGTAAAAAAAATGAAACTCCGGCGAATTCTCCGACAGCGGCGGACCTAAGTGATCGCTCCAGTGCAGCGGTGACGATGAACGTGAACTAGTACACTAGGTAAGTTCCCAGGAAAGAGAGGTGGGTCATTAATGGACACACTTAAATACCAAGTCTTTCCTTGCCGAACTTTCCTAAACATGCACTTTCACACTACCAAATAAAATTCAATGACAAAGATAATTCTTTTCCGATGTGGAGGATCAGCTTACCGACAGCGGTGGGGCGGCTCTAGCAATGGTGGGCGGCTCCAACGAATGGACAAAAGGCGGAAAAAAATTCAAGATAACCTTAAGCTCGATACCATGTTGAATATAAAGAAAATATAGTTTGGAATTAATTTCCCTTGTGTATAAATCACACATAGGGTGGTCTATTTATAGTAGAGAAATACAACTAAAAGAGTAACTCGAAAGTAACAGAATAAACAGAAGATATTGTTTGATATTGTGGTTACCAATATCTAACAATATCTTAACAATATCAAATAATATATAAACAATATCTAATAATTATTATTATTATAATATTAGTAAATATAATTATTAATTTTGTATAATTTTACACCTAATTTAAATTATATTTTTCAATATTTGTAAGGTATTTTTTATTTTTTAATTTCTTACCTTATGTTTTCATCATGAGAAAAAAATAAAAAAATAATTATAAAACAAAATATTATAATTTTTTATGTTACAAGGTGAAATTATTAAAGAGAAGAATATGAAAATAACAAATGATAAAAAAAAGAAAAAAAATATGAAAAGATAAAATGAATGTTTTCTTAAAAAAAGTTGAAAGAGAAAATGAAAAGATAATATAAAAAAAAAGAAAAAAATAAAAATTATATAAGAGAATAAATATGATATTTATTATAAAACTAAAAAATTTAAATTTTATTTATATTTATAAAATAATTTTTATTTAATTTTAAAAAAATAATTATATATATAT